GCGGCGTCAGTGGGGTGCGCCCGGGTCCGCGCCTGGAGCCTGCCCTTCCGTGTGTGGGGGAGGAGGTGAGGAGGCCGGGGGGCGATCTCGCGGGGTGGGATTCGTGACCGCACGCCCCCGCGCTCTGTTTGTAGCTTCTTTTGTGACCGATTCTCTTTCTTGCAGCTTTATGCGACTCTGAAGGACGGGAATCCACCCTGGGAGGTGACGGAAGCTGTCCTCTTCATCATGGCCTCCATAGCTAAGAGCGTTGACCAGTGAGTGTTGACCATCCTGCTTGTGTCTGTAAAGGGCCGTTGGGGTCAGGCGTTGCCTCCAAGTGAGTTTTGCGGAGGCACCGAGCGTATCCCAAGGGTACTCCTCGGTACGCGCTTCCCCCGGCAGAAGCGTTTAAAACCCACGCTTTATTTCGGATAGTACAGACCGTGCCCGCTGAGGACTGCGGCAGGGCAGTACCCCCTTGCTGATGGAGCGGTCCTGTAGCCCGGGGGACTGAGGTCTCCGCTTCCTGGCCAGGAATACGGGGCCAGGACAGAGCCGGGGCTGCGTGAAGCAGCTGGACCTTCTCGGGTCGCCTCTCTGCCTGCCCTGGGGGCTTTAATGCCACAGACTTGGGCTCAGCCCCGGTGAAGCAGGATAAGGTTTTGTTTCCCCTTAGTTCACCTCCTGAAAGCAAAGCATTTTGCCTAGGCTAGTTGTTTGGGATCCTTCTGCATCCAGAGTGGGAAGAGCCGCCTTTTCCCAGATATCTTTAGGGAAGGTTAAATCCCTTTCTGGAAGCGCCTTTCCTCCCCGGTTGGTGGTGTAGTGGAAGCGTCGACAGCTAACGTCCAGGGCGGTGGAGAGGGCGGCGAGTCCTCCTGCGTGCTGACAGCCGCGCTGATGCAGCCGGGCAGCCCGGCTGGCCTTCACCAGGCTGGGAGCGCCGTGCCTCCCTTCCCCGGGAGGCTGGGGGAGTCGCCGCGTTCGCTGTACGCTCGCTGGCTCCCCTTATCTGCGTCAAGGCTGCTCTGGCTGGTTTTTATCTTCAGCTTTTATTTCTGCTTTGTTCCCGAGAGCCCCGGCCCCTCGTGGCCTTGCGCTGCGGGAGCGCGGGGGAGTCCGCTTCCCACCAGCCTGGCCCACGAGGTTCTTCCTCGCCCCGTGGCTCTACCGAGCTCGGCTTCTGCTCTTGCCGTGAGAGGGCGGACGGTGCCGTCTGCCGGGCAAGCGAGCCCGGAGCCCTGCCGCTGACGCGGGCCGCAGGCAAGCCGG